AGAGAGAGAGAGAGAGGCAGGAGAGATTTACTACACTATCAAAGTATGGTAGCTCAATAGATTTCTTTCTGCTTGGGCGAAAACAAAAGATATGGATGACCTTTATCATCAATTTTATTTGACCTTTTTCAGGTGTTGTGGTTCTAGGTGGCTGTGTGTACGCTGTAGGGGGTTTTGACGGCGCGCGGCAGCTGCAGTCAGTAGAACGCTATGACCCAGTCAAGAGATGCTGGGACTACGTTGCTTCACTACAACGGGCCCGTAGCGGCGTAGGAGTTGCTGTTGTTGACAATAAGATCTTTGCATTGGGTAAGCCTTTAGACTGTGCATAGAGGTTTGTTTTTTCTTGCGCTCATTTTATCTTTGATTTGAATTGCCTGGTGTTATGTGTCCAATATTTCTGACAGTCTAGTTATTTTTTCACATGCTATATATGGTCTTGTTTGTGTTCAAGCAAGATCAGCTAACAAACTCAAGCAAAAACGTGGGTGGTTGGATGACACCACTGGTAGGTCCTACTTCTGTTTCATTCCATGTGTCTGCCTGTCTTGCTTTCTCCATTCACAATATGTCTGTTATAGTGTTGATGTACCTCTCTTTACTAAAACTCTAAAGGAACGAAGATGAGAAGATGGATAAGATCACAGAGTGGCCAGGTCTTAAAACATAATATGAAGCTATTAGCAAGTCCAGCAATCGAAAGAGGTGGAATAAGATTAGAGGAACGTCATCTGTGATGTCTCAAATGTGTGAATGACTATGGGATTGATGATGATGAGATGATGATGTTGATGATGATTTTGATGATGATTTTGATGATGATTATGATGATGATGATAATCAAAGCAATTTTTTTTAAACACCTAACCTTCTTTTTCTCCCCCCTCCCGCAGGAGGTTTCGATGGCCGTGATTTCCTGCCATGTGTGGAGTGCTACAACCCGGAGTTGGACCAGTGGCAGAGCGAGACCATCATGCTCTGTGAGCGCAGTGGCCATGGGGTGGCAGTAGAACGCCAGCCCACCATTGGATAACAGACTGTGGTCACTGAGTCAGTGACAGTACAAGAACATACAATCGTCGTTCTGATTATAATCTCTGAAGAGACATGGTTAGTCAGGTTAGACAGCTATCTTCCTAAATATTCAGTGGAAACCCAGCTTACCCTTGGATACCAAACAGTATCACTGAGTGAAGTGGCAGCACAAGAATGTGATATATAAAGGTGACATGAAGTCTCATGTGTCCAACCTCAACCCCCTGTGTGACACTAGCTGCAGTGAGCTTCCTTCCTCACGTCCTTTTCTACCATTGGTAGGTCTGCACTCCTTCCTGTGAGGCGTCAGGGTTGTGATAGCCAAAGCGCACTTTTTCAGTTTTGAGTGTGAAGCATGAAGATGGGCCCAGCCTAGGGAAAAAATGTTCTCAAGGATTCTGTACATGACTGCCTCAATTGCAGAGCAAGTATTTCAAGGCTCTATATTTCAGATGATGGTATGAATTTGCAGGTCCAAATGGTGGCAAGGTGAGAATAAAAAAAGGCGCATGATCTGCAGTAAACCAGAAAAGTGATGGTGTTAGTTGAATATATTGGCGAGAGACTTTATACACTTGGATGTCACTTGTGACATAAAGGTGAACTGAGAATCAAAAAGTACAAATGTGCCCGTATTTGTTCAAATATCTACATATTTATTCAAATGTCAATGTATTTGTTCAAATTTTATTTGTTTAAATATGTAAGTGTTTGTTCAGATATATCTGTGTTTCTTCAAATGTTCAAGTTCAAGTATTTGTTCAGAGTAGAGAAAGCATCAAGAGGCAATCATCAGCAGTAACTTTTCTGTGGAATAATCCATAGAATATGTATTTTCAAAGGCATACCGTTTATTTCAGTTAGTATCATTCTGAGCTTTAGTGTAGGCCATTCTTGTTCAATTTCATGATGAACTTGGGTTGCTTGAGAAGTTTTCATAGATCTACGCTCACTTGGCTCTCTCCTGTGAACAACAGACTTTGAATTGAAGATTCCCCCCCCCCCCCCCCCCCCCACCTCTAAGATATTTGTGTTGAAAGGGGGTTAAAACCAATACAACAGCACATAGATATCATATTACTGGATTTACCAATTAGTTCCTTGCGCGTAAATGATCTCTGACACAGTTTGTACAGTTACATGTCATGTGTAATATGAATTGTTTTTGTATAGATTTCAGGAGGGGGGGAGTGGGGAAGGACATTATGCAGAGGTGCTCCTGGTTGAATTACTGTGATGAATTGTGTCCATGTTGTCCTCCACTGAAAACTGCCGTGTTAACAGCGATGCATACCAGGATCTTTCAACTCATTTTCTGTGAATTTATGGATATCTCTGATGGCGTGAAGTGCAAGAAATGGAAAAGCATTTGCTGTATTGGTGAGACTTTGTTTGAGCCTGTGGCCTTAGATCAAGACATGATTCTGAGAGTATCGTCATCATCCACAGACGACGAAAGAAGGTTTTTATACAGTTTTTAATAGAGGCTTATGAATAATACAATATACAGAATATTGTGAATTTATGAAAAACATCATTCAATTATGCATAATCCTGCTTTCCTGTTCAGTGCCTTCTTGTATTCGAGTCTTGGTGATTATTTTTCACACTGACAGAAGCTGGTGATTTTTATCTGATCTAGAATGTGATTTTTTTTTCTTGAATGCTCTTTGAGGATTCAGTGAAAAATGTGGCCGTTTTAATCATCATTGTATGTCTAATGCTATGGACTATGTGGAAATTTGTCCTCAATCTGGGAACATTCCAGTAGTGTGCTGTGGTGAAAAATTGTTGGAACATCACTATACTGCAGTCAGCAGTGGCTGGTGAAGCTAGCAGTCTCATGGAATAGCGTACTGAGATGACTGCTACCAACGGGATTGTTTATTCATGCAATGCATGCTTGATGACATGGGCAAAACACTTTGACCTCAATGTGTCATATGTTCGGGAATAGCGATTTATGTATTGGTGTTTGTGTGTGAGTGATGCATGTGAATGTAGCATCCATTGTAATAGTGGATCGACCGTAGCATTTCTCAAAAGTTAATGAGCCTTCAACTGTTGTGAAAAATATGCTTGTTGCCAGAAGCAAATCTCTTGAAAATTAAGTGTGGGCTATTTGTTACTGTGAATCAGCTTCAAGTGTTTGTCTCCAGCACAATATGTGTATTTGAATTTAATATTATATGCCTGTACTTCAAGCATTATTTAGAAGACAGAAGTCATAGTGTAGAGCAGGCATTTGATCACTTGTATCAGAAATATTGTGTGGCGTTTCTGAACTTTGTGTGTAATATAGGTGTGTGCCACGTCAACAACCAATGAGCCATCTTGTTCTGTTCCACCTTGCCTGGTTGTTGTGGTCATTTGTATACATGGTGATGCGGGTGACCTATGATAAAATTGTTTTGAATTTTTTAGAATAAAAAATGTTTTGTTAGCGTTTCATTTCATATTTTTATGTCGCTACTTCAATGAATGTGTATAGGGAAAGAAAACTCTTGACTGTTTGCCTTTTCTTTTACACTGTGCCTCTATTCAAGCAAGTCTCATCAACATCTCATTCAGTGAATGAAGGTACATGTAATTGTAATGGAAGCTATTTTTCTACAGGTGAAATCAGGCTTGAAGCTTCCTTGGTCCTGGGATGTAAATTGATTGCTAGCTCTGTCCTGACTTGTGACGAGTTGTATTGTTTATTCGTTCTTGTGTTTGTCAGTCTGACTCTAGATAGATGCCGGACATGCAGTGTGAACTTATGACCGTTTAATATAAATATCTGCTTTTCTCACAAATTGTAATAGCACCTCACCAGGGGGCAAACTACTTTTGAATTGTTTATATTCACTTTGCTAGTCATCATAGGCTTGCAATAAAATATGTGTGGAAATTCTATGTTAAATAAAGTGTCATGCGATCAAGTTTCCTGGCCTTTCACCATTTCTGGGTGCACCCAAGGTCCAATGGGTTTGCTTACTACTTGTTTACTGTTTCATGTGTCATATTCTTGTTCTGTATCAGACTATGTAGATACTGCAAATAGTAAGGTGATACTTCAAAGTTAAATTCATTACCTCATATGTATCTATATGTGTTAAGATATGTCACTGCGTCATTGGCAGAGCAGCCCGGTAACTTTATTTGCTTACTGAGTTCAGGTAAAAATGGCAAGTTTTATACGACTCTACTATGAATAATGATGCTCAGTTACAACATGTGCTATGACTTTTTTTTCTGGATGCCAGAAGTAAGAATAGATCTAATGCCTGGCCTGTGGAATGGATTTCTGTTGTGTATGACCTTTCCTGACAGTTCTACCTTGGTAATGTGCATGTGCACTCGTGCGTGTGTATGTGCGTGTATGTGTGTCTGCATGTGTGTGTTGAAATTTATCACCCAACTTGGAGAGTATTGACCCTTTTCTACGTCAAAAACTTCATTCATTCTCCACTTTCATTGTCTTTTTTTCATGTATTTGACTTGAAAAGGCTCTCGTCAATGGATATATTAAACTCTTCTTTCAGATTGTACAGCTATTCTCCTATTTTATCTCATGCTTCAGATTGTGCTCATGATAACACAAATTTCCTCTTCTTTTATCTCAGAAGTTCAGCTAGTGAAATGAAAGCCTGTCGGTCAGTAAAATGAGAGAACACATCATGTACATTGTAAGTCTTAGAGGTGAACACATGTACAATTGTAAGTCCTAGAGGTGAACACATGTACATTGTAAGACTGTGGGTGAACACGTGTTGTTAGTCATGAACATACAGATGTCAGGACGGGTATCTATGATGCAGCGTTTCAGAGCTTTGCCATCAACGACATGAGACTTTGAGTTTGATTCTCATTTGGGGAGAATTTCCTCCATATTTTTGCTGGGAAGTTGTATTCCTCTCAGCTCGGGTTGGTCTGCTTCCCAAAATAATCTGAAAAGCTTCAATGGGGCATGATACTTTCACATGATTCTCCTTTTTATACTTATCAGTGTGTGAGATAAACAGTTGTCTACTATTTGTTGGATGAATACCGGTACTGTACACAGGTTACAAGTTGGTGTGACTAACACATTATGTATGTGATCAGTCAGTGAGATGAACGCTTCTTTTGAGTCTGTGGGATGAAACATTAAGTTCCAAAAAACTCAAAACTAGCACTTTTGCTCTATATGCAGACAGCACAGAAGTGTTATATTTTTCAAAGTTGTGTCCTAGTCATCAGAAAAGCTGCTACGATTAGAATTCATAGTGTATGTTCACACTTAGTTTTGTTGTACATGTATTTTTTTCTGTTTGTGGGGGGTTTCAAAAGGTATCCTCTGAAGCTATCACTGAATGCCATCGGTTTAATATATATTATTATGATTTATACATGTATATTTTTTCATTTTCTGTTGTTTGTTTAAAGACATATTTGTGTACATTTGTTTTCCTGACAATAAGAATGGAATGGATTGAACTGAATAGTGGTGGACTCCCTTTGTCTTTTGCTTTTTTGTTGTGCACCCCCCCCCCCCCTCTCTCTCTCTCTCTCTCTCTCTCTCTCTCTCTCTCTCTCTCTCTTTCTCTCTCCCCCCATCTGAGTGAACAGCATGCTTGCTTTGTATTATTCAGAATGGACATTGTTTTGTGTGTACAAAGTCCCTGTCTCATAACTTATCTCCCCTGCCAAAAATGTCCTTTGCAATATTTGGTGCACACGGGACAGCTATGATATGATGACCTCTGTTGCCATTTCCATCATATTCACTGATAGCGCTATACTGTTAACTATAACCACACTGTTTGTATGTACTGTATCTGGGAAGTAGCTGCCACTGTCCCCTGATCTGTTGGTGGAATTACATGTCAGCAACAGCTGGTTTCCAAGTCTGTACATATCTGCTGGACTGTGTCTACTGTATTATAATAAAAAGCAGCTCTATCTTTTCCCATGTTGGGAAGAGGCGAGTTTATTGCTTGTGCTGCTTGTGGTACTTTTGCCTGGTGATAAACACATAGCAAAGGTGCAATTCTAGAATCTGTTGAGCTCAGCAGTCAAATTGGATGTTTATGCTGGTACTTTTCAGTTTATGAAAGTGAGAAGAATGTGAGAGAGAGAGAGACAGACAGACAGACAGACAGACAGACAGACAGACAGACAGACAGACAGACAGGGAAGCAGAGAAAAGAAAGAAAGAAAACACGCAGGGAGAAACAAAGAAAAAGAATGATATTTGATTGATTTTGCCCTTTTCCTCAGTTCAGATTAAGTCTTGAGCCTGACCTAAAAGTGCTCACAGGATAAGGCAAGAAGAGGAAAATACTGGCAGAAAGTGAGAAAGTAAGATTAAGTCAGAATATTACTTTGCCCAGTGCAGGCTGCTATCAAAGTCAAAGCTGGTTATGAATTTAATAACAATGATGGAACATTGGGCACCATTTTTTCAGCCAGTCTCATTTTAAAACACTTTCTTACCGATGTCCCATTAGAGGACTAAAATAAAGTTGGTTATGTTTAGTGGGGCGCTGTACTTCACCAATATGAATGGTCTGTCCAGGAATTTGTCCCATGCTTCATCATACTTCGTGGTGAAAAATGCATTAGCAGGCTATGTATTCTGACACTTGGGCCGTAGTGGTTAGGAGATCATGTAATGTATAGGGATGGACAAATACTGACACTACTGAGGGAGTGGGTGTGATCTCTTTTGTGCTTGTATGTGTTTGTGTGTAGTGTAAGAGTGAGTGTGCTTTTGAGAAAGAGAGTTTGTGTGTGTGTGTGCGTCTGTAAAAAAGAGAGAGAGTGAGTGAGTGAGAGAGAGAGAGTGAGTGAGAGAGATCAGCATGGAAGCCTTCAGAGACAGAAATTCAGTAAGGCCTACACTAATGCATCAACTTGAACTGTCAGTATGAGATCAAGACAGAAATTCAGTTACTTACACTATGCGTCAACCTTGAGTTGTCACTACTGTCAGTATGAGACCAAGAAAAATTGTTTTTCAGAGACTGTTATTGAAAGAAAGGTGTTGAAAAAAAAATGAGTGGTTGATGACGTTTCCTTTCCATTGTCTACCATAACCATGTTGTTATATTGTTACATTAAACGACTGATTCCTCAAACGGTTGTCTTCGTAGCTTCTTTGTTGTTGTATGTATTCAGAGAATTTTGCATCATGTACGTTTTTTTGTTACTTTAGGCTCCTTTTCCATTCAAGTTTCAAGTCCGTCAGAGGATGGACACCTTCAGATTACAAATTGTTTTTCTCTACTGAAAGTGAAATGACTAAGCTGTGGACAAGTAAAGTCACAGCTGGAAATTCTTCCTCACTGATTCTCAGAGATAAGAAGTAAGCAGTTACATGTACAAGGCTGTCCTGAGTTTACGGTTCACACCTTGTAAATTTGTGACACTGAGAGCATCAGTGACATACTCGAATGGACATAACTGAAGGCCTCAGACACGTATACCATGTACAAATATACAGGCTCGGACCTTGGCTTTCTTGGGATGAGAGAAAAGCACACAGCCATTAGACAAACAAGTGCTTTACTGGCAAGCTATAACCTTGAAATACATACCTCCTTATTAAGCATCATTTTCACAGATTAGAACAAACACTGAAATAACAAGTACACTCTTGCGAAAAGTTTTAATATTGTTTTATTTCTTATTTATTTTTAGTGATTGTCTTATGACACTTGCAACACATATAGGTCATGATAAGACTAGAAGATTACAGGAGTTGCAAGAAAGTAACATATAAAAAAAAGGTGGAAAGATAAGGATGATAGACGTTAGAAAGGAAAGAAAGAGTGAGCTATCCCAGAGCATCTGCTAACCAGTCTCACTTCTTTATGAAATTTTTTTCCAGACAACAAACACTCTGTAAGGCAACACAATCAACAAAAATCAGCAAGGCCTGGCTATGTCTCTATTCAGAACTTACTTGACCTACTGTGCACATCCCAAGTCTCCACTCTCTGTGGGGCCAACATGTGTGAACTTGCTTGAAGTTGAAGACAAGACAAATCATCAAGAATTTGGTGTTTCAAAATCACTACGGTATAAGTTGCTAAACATACACACAGCTACCGGGGGCTCTCGTGGTCTTGAGGCATGGTGTTTGACTCTCATTCAATAGGACTCTGGTTCCTTCTCTGAAAAATGTTCCCCTGTCACCTTTCCTGCTTTCTAATCATGTTCAGTCGTCTGCTTTCGTCTCCAAAATTAATCCCTGCAAAACTGAAAATGCTTAATATGTCCAGCGCACTCATATGACCTTATGCTGTTACTAGCGAATTAAGAAAACAAATCATAAAATAAAAAACACAGCTAGCTCATCATAGATTCCCCTGCTGCACCAGTGAGTAGGAACACACATCTCATCACTCCCGATCCCTTCTGTTGAAATTAAATTGTCTGCACAAATGGAAAGAATATCACTCATACTTTTATTCAGAGTTTGATACAGACCTATTTACAACATATTGCCTTTTTCTAGACTTGTAACACAATTTTGCCATTATAACCATAACATACTCCTTCCCAATACAAAGAACAGCGAGTGCAGTCGAATCTTCTCTAATGGCCACCTGCATAAGACAACAGCCATGCCCCATTCTCCTCCTTGCATTTTCCTTACATTACAATAACATTGTGTAAGATGTCCAACTGTATAAGACAACCACTTTTCCCCTCAACATTGGGAGGCCTTCTTAGACAAGTTCGACTGTATATTACCGTTATGGCTAACAATAGTGCATTCTCAATTACAAGGTGCTTATATAAATAACATCCCGAGGCTGACATAACAGTTTTATTGATAGTTAAAACCATAAACAAAATTATACAATAAATAACAGCAACAAAATGATATTAAATACACCTAAAAACATTAATTATAATGGAGTCTCTCTCTCTCTCCCCTTTGTCCCCTCTCTCTCTCTCTCTCTCGTCTCTCTCTCCCCCCTAGCCCCCCCTCTCTCTCACTCTCTCTCTTTCTCTCTCTCTCTTTTTCTTTCCCTCTCTCATAATGTAGATCATTTCAGATTCAGACTGCTTCCATCCTAAATGTCAGTGTCTATCCAACATCTATTCTATGCCATACATAATCCAGAAGAGAGATGAGGACACACAAAAAAATATCTTCCCCACATGGCAATCTCATTCACATCTTTTGTGCAAGAGAGGAGGAGAGTTTTAGCTTTAATGCTGAGGTATTTACAATTCTAAATCACAGAAACAATTTATACGGAATGGGGTAAGTAATATCAATGATTTTAAAGTGTTGTCTGCTAGAATGGAAGACAGGGCGGGGGTAAACAACATATTAATCCAGTGTGGCTGTTGTGACCTCCTACAAAAGCCAAAGCTACCTTTTTCCTAGCTGTGAATGAATATCTATACAGTGGAGTCCGCTTAAAGCGAACTCTTTGGGACCAGAAGAAAGTGTCCACTTTATCCAAGGTTCAGTTTAACCATTTTGGTAGGGTGGAGACCAAGAAACAGTAGCAACTTTTACTTAAACAAATAGTGTTCAATCAGTGGTGGGTCATGGGTGGAGGTGGGGTGGGGGAACAACACAGCGGACGAGCTCTTTCTTTCTGATTGAGATTGCCGTCGCCAATGCCGAGCTGGGATTGTCTGCCGATGCCCGAAACAAAGAATCTTATTTTCACAGCATGGCGACAGTGACACGGTCAATCCATTCTCCGCTTTCACTCATTTTGGGCGTTCACTTTATCCGATTTCCCCATTAAACCGTTTCATTTTATCCACTACTTCTTTCACTTAAAACAAATAGTGTTTCAATGAGAAACACAAAATATCATTCACTTTAACCGATTGTTCAAATAAAGTGTGTTCACTTTAACCGGACTCCACTGTAGCTTGTTCACTTTCATCTGTCTGTGTTAAAAAAAATTCTAACTTGAAAAAATTAATTTACCTATGCCCACGAAACTTTATATTGCACTTCTGCAGGCCAGCCATCAAACAAAATTTTTTGGGGAAAAAATGATCCCGCAATAAAAAAGTTTTTCTCTTTGGGCCCTATATTATAAACCTCTCTTTGGGTGCAAACACAAGATCATTAAAATAAATGGTTTACAGTAACCTTACCTACAAATTGCTCATTTTGAGACAGCGACACCACGTCCCATGTCTTGAATCCTGTTTCTTAACACTTTGCCGCCTCATCTCGCCGATTGGCGATGTTTACCACCCAGTTTCTTTGGATTTTCCCCAAAATATGTGTGTGTGCCTAAAGAAAGGTACCAAAAGTCGGATTTTGACCTTTTTGAGTTAAGGGTTGTGCCTTACATGAAATTCAATGCTGAACACGGGGTCTTTGAATTTTTCAGATACCTCAAGTAGTTCTTGAGATATTGCACATTTTGCGAGGTATGGTATGGTATGGCCTAAAAATATAATTATGAGAAAATGAGCTTTTAAGTTTAATAAACGTGAGAACACACACACACTTTAAAACCTCCCCGATTTTTAAAATGTATATATTCATGGAAAATTCATTTCCAATTTGGCATTCAGTTGACATCAATATCACATGAATGGAATTCAATGGTAAAACATAGCAGGGAGGAGAAAACATGCTTCAAGAATAGATTTTAACATCTTTTAAAAGCAGTTTTCATTATTTGTTTTATTATACCCTTCCCTCAAAATAAAATATTTAGAAGTTAAATCAATGAAAACCCTTTGAGCACACTGTAAAAAAAATGGTGGATCTATCATTTTTTTAATGGAAACATATTTTGGTCAAAAAAGTGATTTTTGTCATTATCAGCCTGTAGCTCGAAACAGTCTGGGGCGACTTTCGGTACCTTTCTCTAGGCACACACACATATGATAGCAAAGTGTTTAGCGTATATAATAAAGTGTGGTGTTGAGAAAAATATGTCGACTTTAAAATGTTTTAGGTGTGTGTAGGAAATCCACTACTATTTTTTTTAGGCTTACATCAAAGAAAATGTGTCGGAAGCTTAGTTTGCAGTGACCTTTATGAATGGGCTTTTAGATTTTGTTGGTCATCTGACTTTTAGACACAATGCAAAGATCTGAAAAGATTAAACAGAGCGATTTGATTTTTTATAGTCAGACAAAAGTGAACAAGCTGTAATTTCCTTCTACTTTGTCATCCTGTCAGAGCTCAGCAGTGTGTGATGTTTGCTCCTCCAGCTCTGTTTTGCTGAGCACACACAGGAGCACACCAGCTACAACAAGAACCATCCCACACAGAGTCTCTGAAATACACAACAAAGAAACACATTTTTCAAAAGTGCTTTCAAATTGCAGAATCAGAGCCGGAAAGCATTCATTGTAGTATTTGAGCGTAGTTTATAGAGAGTTCATGGAGACTGCATGAAGAGATAAAGGGAATATTTAGCCAACTCACTGTCTCAATCGTGACAAGATTTTCTATTGTAATAGCCATTTCCTTGTTTAATCTACGACAGCCCTCTTTGATATGATACAAACACATACATACACACTCACGCATATACACTGCATAAGGTCATATGAGCGCCAGAAGATTACAGGTGTTACAAGAGAGTAACAAACATAAAAAAGAAGAAGGGGAGATAAGGACGATTGATGTTTAGTAGGAAAGAAGAAGCAAACCACACCAGAGCACCCCCCCAACCATCCACTAGGTTGACCACTCTTGGCTCACCATAAGACATAAACCTACCCAGGGATCACGTCAGTTCATTTCAAAGTAAGGGAGGATCATTTTACTGATTTTGGGCCTGAACATGAGTCACCGTGGATTCTACCGTGATGATTCAGCTAAGATCCCATTCGCCTAAGATCCCACATTTTCCGTGCTCCCAAACACCAGGATCTTAGGTGGATACAACTGCATTATATTTAAAAATGCACCTCAACTCCTTCAGATTAGCATTATGACATGTTAATACAGGTTTTTCACTTATCCCATAAAGTGAGTTCTCCTGACGAGAACAGCCATGGAATGAAGATACAGAATGACGAAGAAAACAATGATTTTGTTAAAGTAAAGTAAGTCTGGTCTCAGTCGTGAACTCATCAAATCCATGAGTACATACCCCAGTTAAGATTCTTCTCTCCAAGCACTTGGGATGACAGGGCGGTGAATATGAAGGTCAACGAGTTTGTGATTGGTACAGCCAGAGTCAAATCTGATTGTAATGCAGAAATGAAAGAAGGAACAATATAACACTTTCATAATATGGGAACAATATAAGTTGCATTTTTTCTAACAATACGGATTTGATAAAAATCAGCACAAAAAACTGGAAACTTACGTCATCAAGTTGAAAATCAACTAAAGAAACCAGAGACCCTGAGTGACATAACTGTGTTTAGTGTTAATCAGATATCAAATGGAGTTAAGAAAGGGAACCATCAAAAACAAAAGAAGCTACAATTACATGGAGGCTATTTTCAGATATATTCTTACCTGCTGAGGCAAGTGTGATGTAGTACACCACTGATCCTGACTGATTCAGCAGAAACGACAAGAGATACTGAAACAGAGAGTTACACATACATTATAACTATAATAGTTCTCAAGAACAAGAGAAAAGCGCCTCTTTGTCACCATGCTGTTCTGTATTTCAATGAGAAAGTCAATTTCATAATCACAGTCAGAGCCATTAGATTATCACTCTTGTGGCAAAGCATACATTCAACGCTAAACCCTGTATTCATGACAAAAAAGAGGAACACAATTCATTGGTCTTTTCTTAGTAAAAACATTGAATCATATATTAGGCTACCTACAACAGTTTATTGTCACACTGACCATCTGAGACAATTTTAAACATCAAAATCTTGAAACACCAAAGAGTAAAAAGCATGTTGTTTTAAGATAACAGCCTAAACTAACATGTTGAAAAGTATGAGTTTAGTATATAATATTATTATAAATATTTCTCCTACTTTTTGTAGGGTGCACTAGAACTAGAAAAACAACCTAGTATAATACCACTGGTGGAGTACAAATTGTTTTCTACATTAGAAATTTCATTGATTTTTCCAGTTAATGCAGGAAAGGAATTAAGACTAATCTTAAAACTTAAAACTACTAGCCGAAAATCAACTGATAAAATATAAGTCTAACCTTCCAATTCAAGAAGAGGAATTTGAACTCTGCAATGAACTGAGAAATTTTCCCATTTTTCTGGATTTTCTCCACTCCTTTACTGTTACGTTTTAGTAACGGGTTCGTGGCACCCCACAAGAAAGCAACGGTCGTAAGCCAGGCTGCTGAAGCTGAGGAATAACGGAGACTAATTTGATTTTATGCTGAAAGTAGACAGACAACATAATATAACAACCAATTTCAAACACTTACACTGGTACCAATCTTGGTAAGGTATTTTTGTCTGTTAGTCGCTTTCGCAAGAAAATGAAAAGTGAGTGATTTCAATAGTTTATATTTATCCCGTTAATGTAAAGTAAGTTCAAATGTGAAGTTACTCATTTTTCCCCACCACTAGAGAACATATATATGTTATGCAGGCCTACTCTTTTACAGTTAAAATGATACAACCTTGGCAGTCAGCTAATACAGCTACAACTACAAACTAGCATGCACTTGTAATGAACTAGCAAATCATGCACACATAGCAAACAGATTTTAAGTGTCTTTTTTTTTTTACAGACGTACATTCTTTGCAATTAAAATATATATGTACATCGCGAAATTTGTACACGTGCAATGAAAAGATTTCTGCGTCCGACTGATTGTTTCACAATGTGCCTGCTAGACTACATGAATACCCTCCAGCACTAACATTTAAATAATAAATATAGTCAAACCAGCCTTAGTGGTCACTTCTCCATAGCAGTCACTTGTCCTAACAGCCAATATTCTGTGATACCCTAGGTTTTTTTCCCAATATATTTTTAATATCATGTCTAAAATTACCCCTGTCCAATACAGCAATGGTCAGTCATTTTTGTAACAAGTCAGGTTCAAAACCTGTTCATTGGGATCATTTAAAAAGTTTTCCGCCAACCCATTCGCAGATTGAGTGTATTTGTACAATCTTTGCAAAGAAGCTCTTTATGATACTTTTGATGGAAATGAAATGGAAAGATAAAATTAAAATTCATTCAGATTTAAATCAATTGTTGACTTTGTCAAGTCTAGTAAAGTGACGAATAAATGTAACTCAGACCCTGAACAGTGGCCACCTGTCTGTTCTACTGTCGCCTTTTCCTGTGTGATCTTGAGTGACTGTTAATTCTGGTATGGAAAGGTTCAACTGCATCAAAAAAATTATGAGAAAGAATCTCAAAAGTAAGCACTGGTAATTATTAAGTAAAATTTATAAATTATTCACACTAGAGGAAATAATTAGGAAAAGATCGATTTAGATTAAATTACTTACTAAATATTTTTCTGAGTTAGGAGTTTAAATGACCAAAGATCAAATTAAAAAGGAAAAGTTAACTACCACTACCAACAACTTGAACATAAATTCTTTGATGTTACTTATTCTGCAAGTTCAGTGCAATGATAATATGATAGAATCCCATTTATATTGCTGCACCTGCTCACTTAATAAATTTTACACAGTTGAACCAGTGTAAGTGTAGTAAGACAACCATCCATTGTCAAGGAAGGCGTTTTATTGGGAGTCGACTCCCTATAATGTCAGCTGGTTATTGGGAGTCGACTCCCTATTATGTCAGCTGGTTATTGGGAGTTGACTGCCCATTTAATTAATTCATTGGGGTCACAAAACCGCAATTATTTTTTACCTTGAAGGGTTTTGTCGAGGTTCCTTTGCATGCAAAATTATGAAAGCAGATTTGATCGGCTTAAAAAAAAAGATAAAATTAAAGCTAAATTTCGGAGTCGAGTCTACCTCATTTGCATAAAAATAAAAGAGAAGACTTCCGTATTAAGTTGCCACCGTGGTCAAGAGCGGTTTTCTCCATACCGGTTTATCTTTGTTTTGTATTTTTTCCTGTGGCCGTGTCGCAGTAAGGGATGAAGTGAAAAAAATAAATAACTATTTCATTTCGCACATGTTTTGAACAGAAGAAAGAAAGAAAAAAAAGAACCTACCTCTAAAAACTTACCTTAATTTGGAGGGGGGGGGGGA